TAAATTAATTATTGGATGAACGCACGATGCCACATAAAATCTTTGGAGGCTTACCACAGAACCTTATAAGATCTACAGAGCAATCATACTTAATTTGGTGGTGCAATGGTTTTATTACCAGTAGATTTCGTCAAACATTGCCAGTGATTCCACGATCAACACCAGCTGATGAACTCAATGCAATGTCTTAATCCTCCAATTTGTATTTTTTTTTTTTTTTTTTTTTTTTTTTTTTTTTCTTTTATTTTTTTTTTTTTTTTTTTTTTTTTTTTTTTCTTTTTTTTTTTTTATTTTTTTTTTTTCTTTTTTTTTTTTTTTTTTTTCTTTTTTTTTTTTTTATTTTTTTTTTTTTTTTTTTTTTTTTTTTTTTTTTTTTTTTTTTTTTTTTTTTGTTTTTTTTTTTTTTTTTTTTTTTTTTTTTTTTTTTTTTTTTTTTTTTTTTTTTTTTTTTTTGTTTTTCTTCTTTCTTTTGAAACATGTCAAAAGTACTTCATTTAAGCAAGATATATGCGTGTCGAGTTGCAAATGCACCAATCTGCGAAACATATTCTCTAAACAACTCATTGAACATTTGCGTAATGGCACATTTCCTAATAGGACATGTTGACTGGCTGCCCATTAAACTTTTTGCCTCAAAGTTTTGATCAGTTAACTCGATCAAAATTGAGCTTATTCAGAGTGTTTGCCAGATGTTCTCAAATTACAGAAACATGATTTGGTTGACCGCGAACCCGAAGCTATATTGGCTGCAAAAAAACATAGATGTAAATGAAATTGAAATTTAAAAAATTCAAGAACAAATACAGAAGCGAATCAAGGATAATAAATCGGTTGATTTGGCGACTAACCAACGATGCTGTAGATGAACTATCCACCAGAATTTTTAAAACTCACATGGATTTTCCAGGATTGCCACCTTTCACCAATCTTCAATTAAGGTTGGAATCAGTAGTTATTAATGTTGCGAAATATCAACCAACCATGTCCTTGCAACAGGCAATGCGTTATCGATAAAAAGAAAACTTACTAAACAACGTGATAGAAGCAATATACGAAAGGAAAGTATAAGGAGACTACGTTTTTCATACCGCGCATCCCATGATTCTGATGATGTGCCGTTTGACTTAAACGACTACAGTTTCCAGTTCGGCTTGCTTTTGCTATGACTATAAACAAGTCCCAGGGGCAATCATTAAGTGTTGGTGGTATTAATCTGGAAAACCCATGTTTTTCACATGGTCAATTGTATGTTGCCTGTTCCCGAGTTTAAAAACCATCAGATTTGTTTGTCTATGAAAATAAAACTGATTTTTGTTAATAATAATGATTCACATGATTAACAATAAAGCGATTACTTACTATTAAATGCTTATATATGTTTTATTTAATTATATTTCTTATTCACAACGCCCTATCACCAGGGTGACGGTTCTGTTCAGGCGATTTTTTTGCCCAGACTATAAAATATGTAAGATCAAAAAACTATCCCATTACAAATCTTTTTGTCAGGACGAAGTCAGTCGGGTCCGCTAGTGTATCTATATATATAATCAAACGGATGGAATTTAGTACTAAACAGATGGAATTTAGTATTAAACAGATGCAAGTAGTACTAAACAGATGCAAGTAGTACTAAACAGATGCAAGTAGTACTAAACAGATGAAATTAGTACTAAACAGATGAAATTTAGTACTAAACAGATGAAATTTAGTACTAAACAGATGAAATTTAGTACTAAACAGATGAAATTTAGCACTAAACAGATGAAATTTAGTACTAAACAGATGAAATTTAGTACTAAACAGATGAAATTAGTATTAAACAGATGAAATTTAGTATTAAACAGACAGAACAAGTGTCATAATCTTACTTGAGAAATGTTATGAGTTTACACTGAAAAGGGTGAATTGAATTCGTGTCATGTTTCAGGCATCCAGAAAGAGATTTCTTTTTAATTTTAAATTCTTCGCTTTCTCTGAAGCTCAGCCCAAAAGAATGCAGAGTAGCTAAGACGGTTATTCACAGCAGTCTCTGAATAACCAAGTACGAAAAAATAATTTTCTTAAAAAGTTACAGTGGACAATGAAAACTCCTAGCAAGACATTTTGACTTGTGAAGAGAGCAAATGGCAAACGATGGGCAAAGACAACAGAAAAAACAAGATGAACTTACTCTGTCAGTTTCTTTATTACTTGTATCAAGTGATACTTCAGAGTGACCAGAATCAGTGGTAAACGTTTATTCATAGCCACTACCCAACATATTTGCTGTATTAATGAGTATGGTCAATTCTCACTTTCTTGCAAAAACTTCACTTTACTCATCCCAAGAAGGAACTTTGAAAATCAGTTTTTCAATACACACAACTTTCTTTGACAGCAACCAGTCAATATTCAACTTCTCAAGAATGCTTGTTGTAACAATCTAAACGTACACTTCTGCAATTATATATTATCATATAAAGAAAATGTCAATAACAATAGTATTGATATTATTGTCAGAATATCTGTGGTTACTAACTACACAGAACAACATACGTGTTTGGCAGATTCCTCTGCTTACACAACAGACTCAGTATATGTGAGAAAGCTCTATTACTGGCAGACCCAGCAGTGTCAGTTGTTTATAAATAAACTTAATGGTCTAATTTCGTCCGAGTATTTCCATTTGAGACCATAGGTGTGTATCTGCAATTCATAACACAACATAAAACTCGTGGTAACTTTAAGTTGGATGTCTTGATTGTGTTATTGACACACCGTAGTTTAAGCTGTGAATCCAGCGGACAAAGGCCTGCCTAGGCGCTCCGGTGAAGAAACTATTTTTTTAAACATTACTTATGTGTCCCAATTTGAAATTTGGAAGATCTATACATTAGTTTAGAATTACATGAGTATTTTTACAGTTAATTTAAGTGTTGAATGTAAAAATCTGTATTTTAAAAATGTTAAATAAAATGTTTACAAAAATTATTTTAACATCATATAAAAGTACATCTTTTAAAGTCAAATTTAAGTGTAATTTTATTTTTCTGAAGGAAATGGTATTTGGGAAAGAAAAAAATAATTTAAACATTAGCACACATGGTTTTTCACAAAACATTATTTGCAATATTTCTGAAAGAGATGGGATTAGAAAACAAAAGGAAAAAAAAAGTGTGTCACATCATTTCATTCCTAGACCTCATAAATAAAGTTTCAAGTCGCTAAAAATAGTGATGTTTTGAGAGTGTGATTTGACATGGAATCACTCATTTTTGGTTACCGTATACAAACTGAATCTAGAACAAATGTTCAGTGTTATTAAAATAGGACTTTTCCATATTCTACGAAATCTAATTAAAATCAAATGAAAGGAACCACACAGACTTCAACAGTTCCAGTTGCTTTTCGTTGTGAAGTAAAAACCATTTGCAAAACAAATATTGTCATCTGATCGGGTCACTTCATGAAATTTAATCCAATTGTGTGTGCATCTTTTTTTAATCACTCATACATAAAAACTGAAACTGTATAATACTTGTTGTTCCACTTTTCCTTCATGATGAATCTTAACATCTTTCACACATCCTGATGGCTCCAGTACCACTTCTAAATAAAACATATCAGAAGATATGAACCAATCTAGGCCTCCAGCAGGTCCAGCCATAAATTTAAGTCTGAAAGAAATAAAACTGTGAAATATAATCTTCTATTTGTAATTGAACATGTATTGATAAAGAGAAAATGTACTTCAAAACTTACCCTAATTGCCTTGACACACACTCTAGTCGCTCCACCATACTTTGCAACGAAGTTACTTTAATTGAATGTTGCAGAGTATCAAGGCACTTTTGAAGCTGACTTCGTTCCACACTGTCTACAGGATACCTTTTTTCCTACAGAAAGAATCAGAAAGATTAGAATATACAAACACATGGAAAACTGCCAGGCTATTTTACATAATGTAAGCTGAACAATAGTCAATATTAGGATTGAAAATTTTAATAATGCATAGATGATGCCACCAATAAAGTTTTCCAACTTTGGTGAATGTGAAGAAATTGTTACAATATTACTATTTTTACATATAATACACTAATTTTAATTTAACTAAATTTCAGCGTTTTAAAAAGGACTGCTTTTGATATCAAGAAAAGTAAAATGACAAGTATCACTATTTAACTTGGGTAAGAAAGCTTTATTACCACTTGCGTCTCTTATTAGTGAACTCATATTAAGAATTGATAAAAAGACTCTGCAATGAGATGTAATTCTCTTACATCAGCTACAAAAATGTTGGGGCTTCTCTAGATAAAAAGGAGCAATTATGTTAAATGCTAGGGCCAATATACCACTCCAAAATGGAAAGAATTTGGAAGTCATTCAAAAGTACTTAAAATTAGTTAGTTGACTTTAGAACAAACACTGCAAAATTACACAAACAATTGTAAAGTGAAATGGCTTACTCTACTTTACAAAAATAACGGATGCACTGGCTGATCGCACATTAATCACACACGTTATCAACAACTAATTATTTACCTATGTTTATGTTTGAAGATGTTATTTCACAGGTATGCAAGACTAAGCAAACATTGTACTGAATAGAAACACGAGAGTAGGAATAAGAAAAAAAAGCTCTTACTCACCAGAAGGGACATTCTCAAGGCCTTTGCACTTTCTACAAAAGGTTTGAATTGTCCCGCTTTGGAACGAAGTTTTTCCATCAGAAGTTCCATTTGCCACTCTTTTGTCTTATCATATGTGGGTCCAGGACCTATAACTCCATCGAGGGAAATTATACTTTAAATTACTTACATCCATCCATTAGAGAATAGGCACTTGCCATAACAATAAAATTCCAGAAAAATGAGGATCAAACACTGCACGGTCTCTCAATTTACAAATTCATTAGGCAAAATAATTTCGCTCCATGGAGAAGCATATGCTTCATGAATTATCACCTCAAAACAATGTATAGGACATATAGTAATTATAATATATTCAATGACACAAACCTCTAGTCTTCGGAACTCCTGGACTGTCCGAGTAACCTTTGACGGCGAAAACTGACGACATACTTTAATTATATTTAAATAACACACGGCACAAGCAAGTTCAATGACAATAAAACTAAATTCTGTCTGAAGGAAATGTTATCGCCGTAACATGGCGTAAAAGGAAAACATATATTACAGGTAAATTCGTCGCTTGAATGTTACGCTCCTTCGAGTAATGATCAAAACAATTCTCGGAAAGAAATACAATTACTAAAAAATAAGCAACACACTCGAACACAACCGTTCACTGGTGAACTACAACGCCACTACCAGGACCCTATAACTCCCATATAACGTGGTGGGGACCATTACGGTGGCGCGCTCTAGAGCATCACCTTCCTTACAGGAACTAAAACAGGAACTGCTGCCAACAAAACTTTCAACGTGCCTGACTGCTGCGTGAGTTCGCGGGTCGCAAGCAGGACCATAATGTTACAAAAGATAACGTATACGTTCGTGATTTCTTCAGAAGTTTCTTACAAGTTGAGATTATGAATAATTGTACATCTAGAAGACACTTTTCGTATTTGTCACAAATTAGCCAATTTGTATGTGGGAAAGTTGGCGAGTCTAACCTGCAGCTGCACCCGGCGACACTAGCGCTTCCTATAGTAGCAACCTCGAGCTTTGTCCCCGATTTTGATGGAGAGTTGCCGGGCCCTGGCCACTACACGAAACCCGGAAACTACCGCGACCCCAGCTGAGCCATAATCCCATTGGCCGGCGTTAACTGCTAGAGTGAGAAGTAATTCGTTTCAGACGTGATTCTCCGCGACTTTCGCTTGTGCGGGTGTTCCGGTAAATAAAAATGACGCAAAATTCACCCCCGTGAACTTGGCCCGAAAAAAAACGAAATTTTGAATTTTCTTGTGCATTTGTTAGCCCATCGTTCGACCACGTTTGCCTACTCTTAGAAAATGTTTACCTGCCTCCGTTCACAAGTTAGAGCAAAAACAAATTTTTCGGGCCAACTTCACACTTTTACAAAATAACAAAATTGTGCCAAAAATATTAAAAAATACAAAAACTTAAAATGCGCTTTCGTTTGTCCATCGTTTGCCCACATTTGATCACCAACTAGATTATTTTTACCGCATTTCTTCTAGCAGATATTGTCGAAAAACGTATTCCAAAGCACCCAAAAAGCGTGAACCTGTCCCAAAACAATTAAATATTGCAAATGTTTTGTGTGGATTCGTTTGTCCATCATTTGCACACTTTTGCCCATCCTTTAGAAAAGTTTTACCAACTACGGTTCAAAAGTTATAAGTAAAAAATGTTTCCCGCCATTTCTTAAAATCGCCAAATTAGCAACAAATAAATAACACCTTCGTAACTTTTAATTTGTATTCGTTACTTTACCTCTTAATAAACCCTTATCCACCTTCAGACGAGGTTTATCACCAACAAAACAACCAATATAATGTTTCAAAAAAGTGTGAACCTGGCCCGAAAAAAATTGGAAAATGCATTTTTTTGTGTGTATTCGTTTGCTCACCCTTTAGAAAATTTTTACCAGATCGGGTTCGAAACTTATAAGCAAAAAACGTTTTTACGGCAATTTTTTCAACTCGAAAAAATACCAAGAAATACACGGAAATTTCTATATTTTACTACTCCCTGCGTTTGCCCATCTTTGGAAAATGATTGTACATCACTTACAAAACGTACGCTACGTTAAGTTCAAGAATTACAGGGAAAAAACGACTTTCCCGCCATTTTTTGTAAATTCGCCAAAATATCAAAAAATACGTTGAAGTTAAGAAAAGTATCATTTTCATTCGTCATTCCATTACTTGGGAATGTTTGCCCACCTTTATAAATTTTTTACCAGCATCTGTTCACAAATTAGACGAAAAATTGACGGGCCAACTTCACTCTCTTACAAATTTACAAGATTGTGCCTAAAAAAAAAATAAAAAATAAAAAAAAATAAAAAAAGTGCGTCCATAGTTTGCCGACCTTTAATCACCAACTAGATTATTTTTACATTTCCTCTAGTAGATATTAGCGAAAAATGTATTCCAAGGCACCCGAAAAGCGTTAACCTGGCTCTAACAAAATTGACAATTTTCTGTGTGGATTCGTTTCTCTATCATTTGCCCACTTTTGCCCATAATTTAGAAAATTTATAGCAGCTACGGTTCAAAAATTAATGACTAGAAATGTACTTTTCCGTTACTTTCGGTTCCGTTACTAAATTTTTGTATTTTTAATATTTTAGGCACAATCTTGTTATTTTGTAAATGTGTGAAGTTGGCCCGAAAAAATTGTTTTTGCTCTAATTAGTGAACGGGGACAGGTAAACAATTTCTAAAGGGTGGGCAAACAAGGTCAAATGATGGGCAAACAAATGCACAAGAAAATTCAAAATTTTGAAATTTTTTCGGGCCAAGTTCACGCGGATGCCAAGTTTTCCTGTTCAGTTATGTTTATCCTTGCGAATGATAAACACCAAAATTGAAATGAAATAGTGATTCGCAGTGTATAAATTTCTGCTTGAGATTGTGGGAGTTGTATGCTTCCCAGTGCTTAATTTGTACTAAAATAAGTACGGAACTCTGAATTCTCACTATACTGCGATTTTCGCAACTCTGCCCCGGACAGGTATCAGCTGTTGACAGTTTCATCCACCACAAGCTTGAACGTCACCACAGTGACGCTCCCGATTGGATGAAACTGTCAACAGCTGATACCTGCCAGGGGAAGAGTTGTATAAATCGCAGTATACTCCCAAACGATGTGTAGTTTTATTCACTTGAATGATCCTCGACCTATCCAGGGTAGGGAAACTTGGCGGTCAAAACGGGGTAATCGGTCAAAACGGGATTTTTGCGCCTTCTACAACAGTCCCGTAGTGAGCCGAACTAAACGTGTGACGTCATGCAATTCAAAAAGCTGGCAATGTCTAAAACATTTGTTTTCTAGTATTTGGAAGATGATATTAAGAAACTAAGTACTAGACAAGTAAACATTTGCTATGAGATTTTCGCCCTATCCCGCGTGCTGCAGCAAGTGGAGGATATTTATAAATGTTCATTTTGGAGTCTGTGGGTTGCAAATATTTGTAGAACGAAATATCTTTCGATTATCGCCATTTGTAACATTTAACATGCAAAATCGAGTCGTATAAAATTCGTAATCATGTAGTATAGAACTCTAACCTGTTAAATGTTATTTATTCTGTTCTATTTGTTAAAAGTTATGTAAGTTAATATTATTTTCGTATGGTATTGACAAAGTTTTGTAATATGTCACTTGTAATATTCATATACTCCCATTTTTTGGAATACCTGGTAGTTTCTGGGAGGATGCTCACACAATGTGCTCCAGAATAATACGACGTTGAACAGTGTCGGATATCAAATATACATAATTCATTAATTGGTTTGCATTTCTGATAGTACACTCTCATTAGTGATGATGAAAATTAATTAATTTTAATTTGCTTAGGTGTAGCGAGTTACGTTTCTTTCCTGGAGGTTGATCTTCGAGTTGCAGTATGATAACTGGCAGATTAAAACGAATGTGACTTCACCTACATTAAGAAGATGAAATTGTATCAACAGTGTTTCCTACAGCCAGCCCTCTTGTCTTCCTTTTCTTCAGAACATTTCAAGAAAATCTTATTAAAAAGTGTGCCAGTGATATAATTTTTTCCCCTGATGTGCGAGTGCTGCTAGTCTCGATATTGTAGACCATATATATTTCAGCAATATATATTATATATTATATAAATAATATATTATATATTATATATATATATATATTCTTAACATACCCACCTACACGCACAACTTACCACCTTCACAGTAGCAGGCATGAACCGTAAGCGGTTATCAAGTTTTGCTCGTGAAGCGAGCTTTAATCATAGGGAGGCAGAATCTTCAGGTGGCGAGAAAGGTTTGAACCCTTGACACAATAAAATCACACAGATTGCACACAAACCGAGCGTATAATTTACCATAAACTTTTAGTGCATAAGTTTAATGAACAAAAACAGAATATAGAATCGCACTTTTACAAAGAATAATCAAAACACAAGAAACCTTTACAACCCACACTCATATGAATGAACACATAATTTACTTGATTGATACTCTGAAATTAATTACCCCTAAACTACACTGGAATTCCCTTGGAAAATTAATTATATCTGAATTTGTGCTATCTAATTACATTGCACGAGAAATCACAAAATTCAATTTACAATCTCTTCGGCTTCAAATATTACATGTAAAGAACAAAGTGTGTGCTAAGTGCACTACTCTCATTTACAATTTTAACTGTGTCGTGAAAATAGCGACATAATAAATGTCCTAAGTAGAATGTTTTTAGCAGGCAATAGCGGGCATACAAAAACGTCTCCTACTATAATATTGTAATTTGGTTGCCACCGCGTGTCCTCAACATTCTTGACACTTTCCTTATACTAGTTTTCCCTGCCGACGTGAACTTGACCTATTTTCTGCGGATCCCTAACTGTTACCGTCGTGGACTTTTGGCGCTTGAATGTCGTGCGCTGGTCGCTGCGTTGAAGCCGTTCGGTCGCGCTCTGCGATCGTAAGAGAGACGGATCGCCTCTGCCGTCTGCGTTGCCTTCTTGCGTCTCTTTCCGTTCTTCCTCCAACCGTTCCGTCTTTTCTCCACTTGCGCCTGGATCTCGGGCCTCTTTCTTCTTCCTCGTCTGCTGCCGCGGCCTCTGACTACGCCCACGTTGCGAAAACGTGCCCTTGCACTTACGAATACTCGGCAAGTTCCTGCTGTTGCTACTTTACTTTTAGCAAGCAGAACTTTTAATGTTTTCCTTCACAACGGGTTAAACACATTTACTTCCCGTGTTGTTTAATTGAAGAATACACTACTTAATCTGCACTATCTCGCGACGGACTTAACTAGAACGTCTGTTCGACGCCGATAACTCCTACCTAGTAGTCGTTGGCAACGGTAAACAATTACTAATGTTTAACGAAAAATGTTTGACTCGTCGAACGGTGATCAAAAAGAGCAGTTGCTTACTGCGACGCGTGGTGACAAGAAAAGAGAGATTCCAAGCTTGCGGGGGTTCGCGTATTTATGGCGCGGCGGCCTGGGGGCAATATTTTCGTGAAGGGGGTTGCTACTTCCCCTCTCTTAAACGCTTCACAGGAAAACATAGCTCGCTAGTTCGCATTCGTTTAGTACGGGCAACGGATACCAGGGCGCGCCGTTTAAGTACTCTGCCTTACACGCCTATTATCCTCGCTGCTTCCGTAGTGTTCACACATGAGACGGGTTGGTGTATGGGGTTGCACAATCCCCATAACGCCACAATATAATCTATTATATATTATATAATATATATATTATATATATATATAATATATATTCAAATAATAATTGTCCCCCCTTGTATAGAAAAACTTGCCTACAAGCACTGAATATAATTAATAAATAATCAAAAATTTTGAATGTGAACAATTAAAAAACTTTTGTTTTCGAATGTGTAATAAAAGAACAATTGTGTGTATAAATAATATAGCTCTAAATATGTAACGTTTATTTTAAAAAATTATTAAGATAGCGTATAATACTTTTTTGGATATTTCACAATACTTCAGTGCTAAGAAAGGTTAATATATTATAGATGATTTTTTAATTAAATGTAGCAAATTTGAATCGTAAATGAAACATCTGAACAATAAATCCTGTAATAAATATTATTTGAAAATAATTATAGTAAAAATCTAATCCATTTTTCTACTATAACCGTCAAAATTCTGTCATCCGTAACAATTCAGTAGATTGTTCTGCCCATGTGTAGGTTTCAATGAGGAGA